CACCCCCACCCCCGCCAGGTGCAGTGAGCCTGGTCCATGCTCTGCGTCCCTCACCTGTGGGCCATCACGCTTCACGTGGTGCGTCTGTGGGAAGGCCGTTAACAGCCCTGCCTCCCCGGGCAGGTGCAGGGAACCTCTGCGTGTGGCTTCCACGTGCTGCTGGGCGGGGGAAGCAGCAGGGCCAGGCATCGGGAAGTTTGTGCTGGGGCGGGCTCCTTCCAGCGCCAGGACATGCACCAGCGTGAGCTCTGGAATTTTCTGGAAATGGGTTCTCACGGCAATTCCTGACGCTCCAGCTTAAACCTTGCCGGACCTTCTGGGCCTTGAGGTACACCCTGAATTGTGTCCAAAGTGAATGGGGCGCCACCCACCTACCCACCTCATACCACAGGTTGAGCGATGCCTCCGGAAGGTAGAGGCTGCTGCAGAGGGCAGGGTGCCCTGGGTGCTCGGTCTCCCACTTGCCCCCAGCAGGGTTCCCTTCCCCTCCCAGCCCAGGGCCTCAAAGGTGCTGGAGTCCCCGGGTTGAGGTTGGATTCTGCTCTGCACCGGGGCCTGCTCGGGACCCAGTGCTGTGCCGGTCTGGCTGCAGCCTTGCCCGTCCCAGCAGCAGCCATGCCTGGCGGGGACATGGCACTCATGCGTCCCGGTGGCCTTAGTGTAGAAAACAGATCTTCCTGGAAGGGTACCGTGGAGAAGGTGGAAGGCAGGCCAGGGGCAGCAGCTGTGAGGAGACAGCCCCAGGGGTGAGGGGCTGCTGGGCCGCGTGTGCCGGGCTGTTTGCAGGAAGAAGGAGGTGAGGTGGAATTGGTGTCAGAACCTGGGCGGTGAGACCCTGAGCTGGTGCCTGGAGCGCTGGCTTTTCCTCTTCTGCCTCCAGCTCTTGGGAAACGCTGGCTTTTCTTCAGGGGCGTCCAGAGCGTGAGTGTCCTCCCTCCGGCTGGAAGCAGCCCAGGGTTTCCCCAGGGACCCATCCAGTGACTGGCAAGAGTTTGGGGTTCTGTCCTGGAGGAGGTGCCAGCATCCTCTGATGGCACCCGGAGGTGGGAGGCAGGTGAGGGTGGGCAGCGTCCCGCCTGCAAGTGACCCCGAGTCCTGCACGGGGCAGATGGCTTTCCCACTGGCCATCTGCTGGGAACCCCCTTCCCTCTCCTCCCCGCACTTCAGGGCTGTGGGAAAAAACCTCCCTGTCTAAAGTGCTTTTCCCCAAAGGAAGGCAGATCTGAATCACTGGCCGGGAACACTCGGGCTTTCCTGCAAATGTGCTCAAGTGTCTGGACGGGGACAGTGTGGGGCCGCCCTGCCTGCCACAGGCCACAGGCTCTGCTGCCTGAGCGGCCTTCGCACCCCCAGGCCCTCCACCATCTTCCTCCTGGGCCACACGCCCCCGCTCAGCCTGATTTCCCTCCGGACAGTTGGATGTGCCACCTGCACACACAGGCCCTCAACCCCTGGACGGTCAGTTCCTCGACTCCTGACTGCCTTACACATTCAGGGTGCAGGTGCCCCTGGAAGAGCAGTGGGTCTGGGTGCCCTGATCCCCAGAGAGTTGAAAACCAGATTATAACTCCCCAAAAATGTGACCGACCGCTGATTAACACATCGTTTGTATGTGTATGTATTACATACTGTATGCTTACAGTAAATAAACTAGAGGGGAAATGTTATTAAGAGAAAATACAGGATAGGGCAAAAGTAGGTCTACAGTTGTTCTATGGAAAACAATACAATAATTAAAAAATAATAATACAAGGGTAAGCTCTGTGTTTCACTTACTCATAACTGTAAGCCTACCTTTGCCCCACCCTGTACATTTACGGTGTTTCTTTCCTAAAATCCTTGTGTAATTGGACGTGCGCAGTTTGAACCCATGTTGTTCGAGGATCGATTGCATCTAAAAGGGAGATTTTCCCTCTGGAAACTGAAAGCCAGTGGTGCTTGCTGTGCCGCCATCACAAAGCAGCACAGGCTGCGGGGCTCGGACACAGGAGGTTATACTCTCTCAGTTCTGGGGACCAGAGGTCTGAAACCCAGGGGTCCGGTGGGTGATTCCTGGTTCCCTCTGGGCTCCCAGCGAGGCTGTTCCCTGCCTCTCCTGGCTTTCCTTGGCTTGTGGCTGCACCACTCCGATCTCTGCCTCTGTCTTCCGCGGCCTTCTTCCCTCTGTGCCAACTTCCTGTCCCTTACAAGGACGCCGGCCACTGCATTAGGACCCCTCTGATCCAGTAGGGCCTCATCTCGAGATCCTTCACTTCACCACATCCGCAAAGACCCTGCTCCCAGGTACTGAGGGCCGGATGTGGACCTGTCTTTGTAAAGGAGAGGTCACCAGTGATTCAACCCTCCCTACTTGCCAGAAATTAAAGATACCATGAAAGTAAATACAATAAAAGCAAATCCCATCACCTGCATGGGCTCTGGGCCAAGGCCTGCTCTCTCCCTGTTCAAAGAGACACCAGCCTGTGTTAGCACCCGCCCAGGCTTTCTCCCCGCTGAGGTCAGGGGGCTGGGCAGAGAGCAGTAGCAGCTCACTCTGGGACTCAGTATTCCAGTCTGTGTCCTTGCACCCCGTCGGGTCACCCCAGGACCGCCAGTGGGAGGAGCCTGCTACAGAGGAGGCAGCTCTGCCGTCAGCTTTTTATTATTTTTATCAATTGGGGTAAAATTCACATAACAAAGTTAACTATTTTAAAGTGTCTTTGGGTTCATTCATCATGTTGTATCTATCTAGTTTCAGGGTATCTTTGTCTCCCCAAGAGGCAATCCCGGGCCCATTAAGCAGCCTTTCCCCACTCACCCCCATCTTTCTGTCTTGGATCTGCCTATACGTCACCTAGAGGTGGACTCATGCAGTATGTGGCTTTGTGACTGACTCACTTCACTTCGCATAAAGTTTTCAAGGTCCGTCCCTGTGGTGGCGTGTGTCAGCATCTCAGTCCTGTGTAAGGCCAGACCACACTTCGTCTACTCGTTCACGCAGGCAGGCTCCTCGCCAACGCCAGCTTCCCCGTCAGGGCACCCGCCCACACCTCCCTGCCCAGCAAATTCGCAGGAACTACTTGGAGCTCGCCCTATCTCCATGTCTTCTCTTGAACCTGCTTATCTCCTGCACTTTATTGACACTGAGCTTTCCTGCCAATCCCCCTGGGCAGGACAGTCACTGTCAAAATACCTTGTGAGTTGCACCCTCTGCCTGCCTGTGGTGACATCTGCCTCAGAGAAGAGGTGACTGCGAAGCCCACCACCCTCTGGCTGGTCCCCGTGAGGCCCCAGGCAGGGGAGCGGGCTCACTTCCCTCATCATTTGCACATTATTCAACACTGAACACCTACGGTGAAGCAGGCACTGAGCAGTCAGACCAAGCTCTGTGCCCCCTGGAGCCAAACTCCCAGCAGGGGAGGCAGGCAACAAACAAACAAATCCAGAAATTCTCTAGTGACTAGAAAGTGCTGTGTGCACAGAAAATATACATAGAGCCCAGAGAGGAGAGAAGAAAGGGGCTGCCGTTCTAAGCAGGGAGAGATGGAAAGTCGTGCTTAGAAAGGGCATTCGAGCAAAGATTGAAGGAGGTGAGGGAGGGAGCTCCATGGATATCTGGGGAACGGTGTCCCATGCAAAGGGAACAGGGCACGTTGGAGGGACTGAGGGCTGGTGTGGCTGGACAGCAGCTGGGAAAGGCGAGCGTAGATGAGATGAGAGATGATGGCATAGGCCAGGGGGCCTGGGAGGCCTTCTCTCTGTGAGGATGTGGGGAGCCCTGGGAGGACTTTGAGGAGAGGAGGCCGTGTCATGACCTCTAGTTTATCAGGACCATCCAGACTGCTGCTCTGAGAATATTCTGGGTGAGGGTAAGAGTGCAGGCCAGAGGCTGGTTAGGAGGCTGTTGCCAAAAGTCCAGCTCCCAATCTAACCAGCCCTGCAGCTTTGCCCCGAGGGCTCCAACACACACGTGCACGTGTGTAAGTATGCACATATGCACGCTGTGTGTGTGTGCATTCATACACATATCCCCACAATGCACATATGTGCACACGGGCACACACAGAGCCCTTAGGGCCAGACAGTCACAACCTACTTTCTGTGTGACCAAGAGCAAGCGCCTTCCCATCTCTGAGCCTCAGTTTCCCCTCCTGGTAAATGGAAGTTCACACACCTTCTTCCCAAAGTGCCGGTGGGCAAGCGTTCACACTCTGCCCAGAGGAGCAGTGTCTGGCTCACGCAATGACCTTTTGCACCCTGAGGTGAATGGACCCGTTACCTGGCTTCTCACTCCAGGGAGTGGCCACTGGAGCCTCTGTGCAGGATGGTCCCAGGCCAGGCAGGGGCTGCGGAGACCACGGCCATCCTCCGGGAGCGCCTGGCCTCCACAGAGGCAGCCCCCTGAATAGCCCTCCAGGTGCGATGGGGCCACTCACACATCCTCCCTGGGTGCCCCTGAGTTGTGAGAAGGTAACCATGGGAAATGCACGTGGGAAACGCATTCTGAGTCTACGCTTCCCTGCCCTGTATTATTCCACACACAGCTGTCTTCTGTGTCTGTCAGCGTCATCCTCCTCATCTTTATCATCTTCATCCTCCTCATCTTTATCACCCTCATCACCAGCCTTCACGCACCACCTCTGCATCAGGCCCTGTGCTAAAATCACAATCACCATCCATCTCACTTCATCCTCACAATAACCTTGTGAGGTGGGTGCTCTGACTTCCCCTTTTTCCAGATGAGGAAACCGAGGCAC